AATGATTTTAGTTGCTAAGTACTAAATTATATATTTCTTCTGTTTTACTGTTTACTCTTTTCATCTTAAAATATATTTTAAATTAAATCTTATTATATTATAAAAATTATTAAAATTTTTAATAAATTCTAAATAAATACTTAATGAGTATATTAAAATTTTCAATAAATATTCAATCAGCCTTTTCAAATTTTTGATAAATACTCAATAAATATCTAATAAATCCATTTAAAATTTAAACTCAATTATATTTTCAATAATAATTTTTTCATATGCTCAATAACAAACAAGCATAAATTTTGCGGTGTAAATCCATGGAGGGTGGCTACGGCGCGACAAACAGGGTAGATACTCATGGTCTCCTAGTGGGTGGTATGTAGGGGAGGAAGTAAGCGTCAGTGGAGTAACAAGGTGGTGGTTAGTCGTGGAGATGGGGTTTGCTTGGGTAAGGCGGTTGTTTAGGGGTGGCAATTTGCCTCAATTTTCATAGGGCTCCACGAGGATCTCAGCCACGAGGACTAAATGGGGAGGAATATGGCGGGGATGGGGAGCATTTTGCTCTTATAAAATTTTATGAAAAATTTTCTCTCCTCTTGTAGAACCTCGCGGGGATCTCCATCCCAGCAAAAAGTTTTAAAAATATATAAATTAATTTTATTTTAAATTTAATTCAACATTCAAACTTAAATTCAATTCAATAAAAATTAAACTTCATCCAATTTAACTTAATCCAATCCAACCTATCATTAACTTTTTAACTATTATGTTAAATTGATTTTTATTTATATTTAGATAATTTATATTTGATTTTATATTTAAAAAATTTTAATTAATTATACTTGAATTTTTAAAATTTATTTATTATAATTAAATATTAATTAATTAAATGTATAAAAACTTATATTTTAATATAAAAAACCTCAAAAGGATCCACATCACCGCTATTCACATAAATGAAGATGGGGAGGGACTTCCCGAGACCCGTTGACATCCCTATATGGTTGTTGGACCCCGGGCATAGAGAAATTGAGGCTGACAGCACAACACCACAAAGTTTGAATCGCTAATACATCAAATGTATTCAAAATGTTGCTTTTGATCTGTTTGGAACAAAGACCAAAAAACATCAAACCCCAAACTCCATTATATAAATTGTGTTTTCCAGCTCACTTTTAAATATAAACCAAAATGCAACTTGCATAGAACTTTTCTTAGATTCCACTTGAGGTTGTCTTTCCTTTCCAATCTAGAGAAGACTAATACTTGTGGTATTGTATTTAATTTCATCCAGTTTGTTTTTGTCACCAATTATTAATCATATATATTCAATCACCTTGAAAATCGATATCTATGACTCATATAAATAGAATGTTAAATCTAATGGTTAGTTTTTGAAAAAATTCATTAGAGGATAATGTTTTGAAAGTTGGATTGAGAATTTAATTTTTTTTTTTAGAGTTGAGTTTAATGTGTGTCATCGTTTTTTTTTTAATTAATAAAAAATT